CCCCAAAACCCCAAAACCCCAAAACCCCAAAACCCCAAACTTTTGGGAATTATTAAAATTAATAAATATGAAAGCAGGGTTTATTATAGACACATCTCCATCCATGCTCCGAAGGAGCAAACATGAGCGAATGGAGTTCTTCCACCAAGCTAGATATGAGGTTGAAAATCTAGTCAAGGTCAATAAGCAGAAATTGTAACGAAATATGATAGAATCGGATACCCTTTGAAGTACTTTATAGCAACTACCGACATCAAGGATCCGATTAAATCCAATTGGGAACATCCTAAAGAGCACTGTTTTAGGCAGTTAGAGTACTTTGACCATAAAATGAGTGAGACCAATATTCGGAAAGCTATTCGGAAGCTGTTGATAACTATGAATTCATATCGATATCTTAACGGAGCAGATAGTCCCACCCATGGCATGAAGATCAGTAGGTTAAGGCCATATCTTGTTGCTATTTTTACAGATGATCATTCTATCGATGAGCTAGATCTATCTCTTTTTGAGAATACTAAAACTAGAGGAGAAGGATATTATTCACATTTGTACAGGGATGATATCACAATGCAAGTGTATGTCTTCACAACATGCCCTCTCAAATGCAAACGGAAATGAGAAAGGAGGTTTAAAGATCTTAAGAACGAACTCGGCATTGAGTACATCATTGTATCCTCCTTTCAGGATTTTAAGACTCTTTTTAAGCAAAATACCGCTAGAAGGGTAGATATGAAGCAATGGATGGCTGATAGTTATATAAAGCCAATGATAACTCCTACCTTGACTCTCAAGAGCGCTTTCGTAGATGACTTTGATCAGATCAGTGATCAAGAATTTTGAATTACCAAAGTGAATATTGGCCCTAAGGTAAGAGCATTCCATAATTTTTAGATTCTCCAACTTTTATCCATAATGAATAAATCTCCAAAAAGCCATCTGAATGATTGCAATGAAATAGGACCTGATGGAAGAGCTTCAGATTTTTGGCCAATTCCCGATGAGTTAATGATAACTCCTGAGGTGCAGGACATACAGGAAAGATCATCTATTCGAAATTTGTACATCAAAACCCAGCCCCTTGAAATTCTAGAAGTAAACTTCTCTAATATTGAAATGGAGAGGCCAGTAAAGGCTCTCTTTGAATCTATTGACAAGGAATTTTCTCTTAACAAATCCCAGCTTGGAATAGGGTACGAAACCTTTCAGATTACTAATTACGAATTCTTGGAATATATCGCAGCCCAGAATTTGTGGAGCGAGAAATGGATCAGTAGCACTAATACAAAAGAGAAAAAGCCATTATACTTCGAAGCATCCTTTTCTGGAGATAATCAGTACCAATCTTCAGCCTTGCTAGTTCTTTCTAGAAGGAACATCAGAATTCCTGATGAGACTGGTGAGAACGCTATTGACCCAAGAAAATGTCCTAGATTGCTAAACATGCCTTTCAAAGCAGAGCTTGTGATCCTTCCAGTTAGATTTAAGGAGTTCTTCGTCTTATTAAGAGTCCGTAAAGAAATAGAGAAGCAGACTAATCAGGAGTTTTACCTCAAGCCTTGGCTTGAGCTTCTCCAGAATTACATTCGAAAGATTCCTCCTTATTATAATTTTTACATCAGAAGAGCTCTTCTGAATTTGAAGTATAAGGAAGTTGATGATCCTTTGAAGAAGATCAACGAGAAGTTTATTAGTAAATCCTTAGAAAGTAAAATAGAGAAAATTATCCAAGAGCAGAACAGTAAGCTCTATGATAGAGAAAGTGTCTACCGCATCAACCACAAGGAGCACAATGATTTCGTGTTCGGTGACTTTCCAGACTGCTGTAAAAATTTGAGGCAGTTCTTACCGAAGATACAGTCTTTATCACAGACTAAGATGCAACAAATGAAGAATAAATCTAATCTGAACCTTGCCAATCCCTTCTCATTTGATAGGAAGAACTTGATACTCACCGTTGGAGCTATAGTGAAGGATTTCCAAAACAAGCTATGCATTGAGCCAAATTTGGATGTCAACAAGTACAATATCTCTCAGGATATTATGGAACACGAGAAAGACTTTAAGAAGAAGCTCATAGCGGAAGATGACCATCACAAGCCTATCTTCGTTATGGGATCTGTCCAATACTTTAGGAAATACCCTGTGCTTAAGAGTATAAATATTAGTGATAAGGAGTGGAAAAGATATACCGATATATCCTTTGGAAATTTGTTCACAACTTCGTTAAGAGCGAAGTACCATAGTGGCCAGGCTTTAATGATCAACAATAACCTTATTGAAGAGGATGAAACACAAGAAGTTGAAAGCGTATTTGTTTTTGAAAAACTTGATCAGGAAATGGCAGAAGAGAAGCACTCAAGGCCTAATAAGCAAGAAAAAGAAGTACCTTTGGATCAAAAATCTAAACCTTCTGAATACAATACTAACAGCTCAAAAACTCAAAAATTATCTCGCCTCTTAAAGTCCTCAAATTCCGAAACAAAATCTCATAAAAGTCCTAAAGGGTCTAAAAAGCTTCAAAAAGAGCATAAAAATGTTCAAAAGAATCAGAAATCCCTGCAAAAGCCTTGTAAACCAGCCAAGCCGTCTAAAATTAATCAAAAATCTTTGACTGAATGTCTTCTGGACTACTACAAAAACACGAGTAAGTACTTTTATGGTATTGTAATTTTCAAAAAATTTCAAAATTCGGCCTAGAAGTGCCGTAAAGAGGTTTTTGATGCTAAAAATGAGGTTTTAATTCCATTTTGACCCTGATTTGGTATATAGGTCTTACTTTGAGGATTAAATATGAGGTGTTAAAGATAGCAGGAGATTTAAAATTACAGCGCAAACTTCAAGAATGAAGTATTGATGAGTATGTGATCAGAGATGGAGGGTCGCTTGACAAGTTTCTCAAGTGTTTCCCTATTTTTAGAGAGATAAAGCCGAAGTTTATTAGAAAGGAAGTGGTCAACCGCTCTCTTGCAAATCTAAAGCGGCTGTGTTAAAGTTGATTCCAGAAATATCAAGTTTGGAGTATATTTCAATATTAAATATATTTTCAGGGGTTTTGGGGTTTTGGGGTTTTGGGGTTTTGGGG